CTTAATTTGGGTATAGTGATAGCCATTTAATAAATTATTATATAATATATTAAATCGTAAAATATGTCAAAGAGTGTTCAATTTGTAACGTTAATATATTATTCTCTTGATGGTTACTACTGTAGAAGAACAGACGTTTTAACTTTCAACATACCTTTTTTCATTTTTTTTTTTTCCTTCACATATCCCGAGCTTTCTACTCAATGTCATTTTTGCCGGGGGGGCTAGCTGTAGTTTTAGCTGCTACTGGCTTGATCATCGTGCCTGAAAACACCTTCATAAATCCAATTTTCTTTGGAAATGCAATATATGTGTTTAATTATACCAAAAAGTGAAGAGTAGAAGAGAAGGGAAATTAAAATCATGACTACTAGTTAAAGCTCTCAACCCTGCCAAGGAGCTCTGAGTAATCAACTACACAGTTATACTAGCTGATTGGTAAGGAAAAACAAAAATCATTAAACCAACATAACTTTTTTTCTGCTCTTTCATTTCATTCCCCCTTTTCAACACCATAATTGTTGGGAGAAATTAAACCCAGTTTTTGTCCGTCTTTTTAATCATCTTTTGATATTGACAAGATCAACAAACCCTCAAATTACTCATTCCTAGCTAGTGTTACAAATTTCCATTTCTCTTTTACCCCATCCGGCAATTACCGTTATGGTACTGTTGCAGAGTCCATTTCCTTGCCCTTGTAATATTCAAACTTGGCAATGGAAGGGAAGTGAGAAGGGATGGCGGTTTGTAATTTTAGAAGCTCTTCATGGTTACACGCATGGCTGCTTTGGTCTCTCTATTGGGTTTATATCTTTTCATCTTTTATGCAATGTGCACCTTTTATTCAGTTTGTGGTTTTTTTTTTTTTTTGTAAATTATACATATGGTATTTTCAAATATTTGATGATAACTGCAGCTCCCACTAACATATACCCACAAGCAGGGTAGAGGATTTTAGGCGTTGTCCCAAGAGTTGTGGTGATGACATCAGTCTCACTCTGTCATGACGTTTGTTCCTTAAGAGCCCATTAGTGCTTGAGGGCTGCTGCTTTTTATTTGCCCTAGAAATAGTGGAGAAGCAACTTATATTGGGTAGCTTCTGGCTTTTGATGAGTGTTAGGTTTGAATTCACTCCACATTTAGGTATGTACCCGTTGAAGCAATATATGAAAGAAAAGTACAAGGAACTAAAACTTAGAAAATCACATGGTATCTGACGAAATTTCATCCATTAATGATGAGGGTGCAATTTTCTGGCAAATGATGAAGTTAAACTTTCTTGTGCTTAAATCTTGCAGATTTTGGAAATCCTGAAATACTGAAAATAGAAATATTAAAAATTTTATTTTTTCCCCGTAATCCTTAGGAAGCCATTGTCTCTCAAAGATTGTGACAAAATGCAGCTCCAACCTTGATAGTAATAAGTATCTAATAGATTTATCATGGTTAATGCAAAGTAGAAGAGAACAATAGTTTTTCTTGATCAAATTATAAAGGATTTTTTAAACTTATGCTTTAAGAGTATAAGTTAAGAATTTTGAAAAAAATAACATTTAATTTATTAATTATCTAATTAAATTTATTTATATGATATTGACTCTAAATTAATGTTTACTTTTATATTTTCTTATGTAAATTTATTACAAAAAGGTACTCTTAACCTATGCACTTGGAAAAATCCAATTGTAAAAACAAGATGAAATTAAGAAACGTTTTAAAGATGAATTAAAGTTATATTCAAAAAAGGGTTTTTTCTATACTGTACCCTAAGGGCAGAGGATAAGAGTATATAATAAATGCATTTTTTTATAATTAATTTATATTAAGAGTGTAAATGTTGGTTTTGATTTAATCAATTAACTAATTAAAATCATCCATGTGTTAATGATGTTAAAATATACATTAACTTTTATAATTTTTAATGTACATTAATTACAAAAATGTGCATTTATTGCATCTTTAACTGCCATGATATACTGTTACATTGGAAATCTCCCTAATGACTTCTAAATTGGAGATTGGAGATGAGTAAGGAATAACCATTACAACTACTCTCCTATTTAGGGAAGTCATTCTAAGGGGAAGTGAAGATTGTAATAATTATCCCATAATTAAAAAAATATATATATCAATATTTTTAATCCTTCTATATTCTTATATACTACTAGAATTTCCCTGTGCTGAAAAATAATAAACTAAATTCTAGCACAATGCACTGGAAAATAGAAGTTATTAACAAATGCTTGAGTTTGCCTTAATATATAGGTGAAGCAATTATTTTTTAATGACTAGCGTTGGAAAATAATAATGCACCAAGAAGCACTGGCCCTTGAGGCCTAATGGCATAGTCACGGTGCATTCCCCCTTCCCCGGCAAGGTTCAAAACCTGCCCTTGCAATATATGTTCAAAAAAAAAAAAAAAAAATCACCAAGAAAAATTTTCACGTGTTGTTATTTTCCAGTGCTAGCCATGGGAAAATAAGAGGAATAATAATTATTTAATTTGTTAAAAAATAATTTGTACTGTCCATAATATTTCCTAACGCAACACATTAGAAAATAAGAATTTGACGATCACGGTTTGATGGTGTATAATTGTTCTGCTATATTTTCTAGCAATTTGCACTGGAAAATAAGTCAGGCCTTACAAGCCCAACAAAACCCCCTCTCCTTCACAATCTCTGTTTTGCCCTAGCCGATCTACAATTTCTGCCATCTCGATCGTGCCCCAAGTCACCACACTTTGTTTTTGGGTCAATTCTTGCCATTCAATTGCCAAAAATGGTAAGTTCAATAAGATTCCAACCTATATGTGTATTTTTTTAATTTACTGACTTTTTTTTTTTGCTTAGCAGCACTAATCACCATTGTTTATTACCTCCCCACTAGTCAAATTATTCCTAGCACAAATAAGATCAAAGCTTGCTCCTTTTTTCAATTTTCAAGTAATCTTGTTCCATCCTCTAGTACTTTTGGCCTTTTTGTTTGTTGGGTTTGATCTTAAGATGGGTTTTGTATTTTTTGGCTGTAATATTGGTGTTGTTGGTTTTGTTAGTTTTGTTTGTAACTTTCGACTTTATCTATATGAGTTTTTCTTCACATAAATGAGATTTGTTTGCTGGGTTTGATCTTAAGATGGGTTGTGTGTTTTTTGACCATATAGATTAGATTTGGTGATTTTGTAAGTTTTGTTTGTAACTTTTGGTTTCATTTACATGAGTTTTTCTTCTGTAGAGCTAGTCCATAATTTTTATTTTTGTGGACAGTCTTTTTTTTTTTTTTTTGAACAACTACAATTTTGGGGGAATGAGGAAAGGGAATAGAGCCAAGAGCCCTCGAACCTTGGCCAAGTGGGTAGCAAGCAATACCGCTTCTACCCACCCCATAGGCCAGGTCCTTGGTGGATAGTCCTTTGGTATTGACTTGAGATTAAAAAAGTATTTTCCAAAGTTATTGAATTAGTACCACATGGTCCACTAATTAATAAGGAAGAATAATGAAACAAATAATTTTAGAGGTTTATTCTTCGCACAAAAAAAGCAATACAAAACAGAGAAATGTAAAAGCAAGACAAGGTTTCCCCTCATCTCACATATGCTTGTGTTTGTATTGTGTGTGTACAATGTGTTTTTTTTTTCTTGTGTCTT